GGAAAGCTTTCAGCATTATAGCAACGCAGAAACCTCCACTGACAGACCAGTGGGAGCCACGCAGGAGGAGTCTTGGCCTGGAATCAAACGTAGGTCTTCAGGCATGGAAGTCAAGAATTCTACCACTGAACTACCTGTGCTTCCATCCACAGTATAGCCATTGATATACTTGATAGTATCGCCATCCACATGATAGCCATTGATAAATTTGTGGAGTGCAGTTTTACTCTGACACCCGACTGCCATGAGCTGAAATTGACTCAATGGCAACAGGCTGCTTTCACTTTACTGCGGAAGAGAGTGGCCTCAGAAGTGTTCAACTGGCTCAGAGCACACAGCTAGCACGTTAGCAAGAAGCAGCCTTGAACCCAGACCTATCTTGATGCACTATGCCATGTAAACCATAGTTGTAAACCCTATTTGCACACGCAAAGCCTCTAACGCATCTAAAAATAGATCTGGGCCCAATTTTGTGTTGGTTGGTTGGTTTTTAAGTTCCTTGGTGGCTCTAAGGAGCAAAGCAGAGTTGAGAACTGCTGATGGAGGAAGCGGGAGTAACCTTGCCCCTACGATGTGGTGCAAAGGCTAGCGTTCAACTTCAGGCTCTTCATCTTTTCATCTTCGCGTGCCCAGGATTTGTTCAATCAGTGTGTGAACGAGCGACCAGAACAGCCAGTGACTTAAGATCCTCTGAGTCGCAGTTTCCTCATCTGTAAAGGGGGACCAATCACACTACCTGCTTGCATGTTCCTTGAGACATGATGAGTACCTAACAGTGAGAAAAAGGAGGGCTCCTGCTACCTAGAATGCTGTCGCCTGTTGGTGGGGCAAAAAACGGGGACCTTAGTCTAGTCAGGCTGTTTAACAGAGAGAAACCAGACTCAGAGAAGGGGGAAATCTTAAAAGGTGACATGGCTAAGGACATAGCTTACACGAGGAGGCGGGTGGAGAGCTGACTCCCTACAGAGTGCTCTTGCTGCTTCATTAGACTGTGTTTTACTTCATTAATATGTTCTACCTATCCACCCTTTCCTCTGTCTGACGGCATCTTTTCTGTCTCCCATGGCCTGACTCTAGCCTTGCTAACTCAATCTGTGTGACTTTTTTTTTTCTTTTTTAACATTTTATTAGGGGCTCATACAACTGTTATCCCAATCCATACACACATCAATTGTGTAAAGCGCATTTGTACATCGTTTCTC